ATGAATTTATTAATCACAAATTAATATCTTTATAATCTAAAAAGTATCATACGATATTATTAATTTATTATGTAAAAATACAATAAAAATTACAATGATTTGCTTAATCTTCTCGAAATCAAAATTTTGGTCCCGTCAAAATGAGCTAATATTTCATATATTTTTCAGACTGTTTTTTTCCTTTTGTTAAAACATTTCCAATTTAAAGGATGAAAAAGGAAAATATTTTTCAAAGATTAAAGATTGAATCTATATAGACTTTTAAAATATAGTGAACCAATGACACGGCCCAAAAGCCCAGGGTTGTAAACGGTCCAAGTCGAATCCGGAAACTTGCCTTCATGGAGTTGGCGACGTGACGTGTATCCAAAGAGTCAGAGACTTCGATCTCATCGAAGACATGGAGACTTTGTCCAATTATGAAATGAAAATATCATTTGTACTCGATCATATAAGAAACATCATTACTCTCTCTTCTATACTCTAAACTAAAAAAAAAACATTATTTATTTATTTCATTTCATGGCTTCAACAATCTTCTCTCGTCCATACTTTTTTTTTTGTTGTTGAAAAACTCTCGTCCATACTTGTTCACAAGAACTTCTTTAGTTTCGAAATCAACAAATCTCAACCCTTGGTCGCGGACGGTGGTGGTCGCAGCTTCGTACGGTGGTGGCTCCTCTTACTTGACCTCCGTGAATGCCGATATCCAAAACCATCTCCGACGAACCGTCCAGGCCAAACCGCCTCTCTCTGTATACGAGCCGCTACGTCACTTCGCTCTTTTGGCTCCACCCGATGCTGACGTGGCTGATGCGTTGTGTGTCGCGTCGTACGAACTCGTCGGCGGTCAAAACCGCGACAAGGCCGTGGAGGTGGCAGCTGCTCTCAGGCTGTTGTACGCCGTTTCCTACACTCATCGACCGTTGTTTGACCATAATGTTGGGACCGTATATGAACCGTACGGAGCGAGTGTTCGGCTTCTGATGGGAGACGGTTTGTTGCCGTTGGCTATAGAAATGCTGGTCCGACCAAACGAAATGGTTACGGATGAACCGGGTCGGGTTTTACGTGTCGTGATAGAAGAGACGCATGCGATGGGGTCAGAAAGGAGTGGTCCAATCAATGACAATATCGAGAAACACTACGTAAAAAGTTGGGAGATGAAGAGTGGTTAAGATATGGACACGTGGAAGGAATCTGTGAGATGTCGGAGAAGATGGAGGGAAGGTTTGAGCGTGTGGGGCGATACTTGGAGGTGGAAGTAGGGGTGAAATTGATAAACTGAAGTTAGGTCTCAATGTGGGAAAATACATGGGGTTTTGACAAGGTGGAGACTAGAGGGAAAAGATCATAATGGGGCGATAATGAAAGAAATAGAAAATATGAAAGATTTAGCAATGAAAGAGTTAGAAAGCTTTGGAGGAGAGAAAGTGGATGTTATGTATGGTCTTATTGACACGTACTTGGAGATGTAAGTACCATATGTATCAACTTCAAATCAATTTTACACCTTTTTCTAACACAATTTTATTCTTCGTATCAGTAAACTATTGCGTATTGAATAATCTTCCAAAATCAGCTACATAATCAAGGGTTAGCTACAAATCATTAATAACTTCCATCTTTTCCCCAAAATGATTCCCATACAACAAGGGTTTAATTAAATAATCAAGCCAAATTGGAAAAATAAAACCAACACAACCGTTCATTTACCAAGGTATAAATCTTCAATTGTAGTATGATGTAGGACACACAATATATATTGATTTAATAATATACTATATAGTCTTACGATTTTGTCATGGAAAATTTTCAATGATTTTAAATTTGAAAGAAATCGAGAATCATCTTATGATTGTCATGGAGTATTGATTTGTACCATCTTCGGACCCATCATGTTTTTGGTCGTCCCACCAAATAGTTCATATAACTTTTACAAGTTTCAGACTGTCACGCTTACGTAAATACTCGATCATAAGAAATTATCGTTACTCTCTCTAGATTCTAATCTTAAGAAAATATATTTCATTCCATGGCTTTAACAATCTTCTCTGGTCCCTACTTCGTCCCAAGAACTACACTTTCAAAATCAACAAATCTCAGCCGTCCATCGCTCTCTCCGTCACGGACGGTGGTGGTAACAGCTTTGTCCTCCGGTGCTAGTTCCTCTTATTGGAGCTCCGTGAATGCCGATATCCAAAACCATCTTCAACGGACCGTCAAGGCCAAACCGCCTCTCTCTGTTTACGAGCCGCTACGTCACTTCGCTCTAATGGCTCCACCTGATGATGACGTGGCTGCTGCATTGTGCGTCGCGTCCTACGAACTCGTCGGCGGTCAAAATCGTGACAAGGCCGTAGAGCTTGCAGCTGCTCTCAGGCTATTGTACGCCGTTTCATACACTCATGGACCGTTGCTTGACCCTAGTGGTGGTGGGAGTGGGATCGTGCATGAACCGTATGGAGCGAGTGTTCGGCTTCTGATCGGGGATGGTTTGTTGCCGTTTGCAATAGAAATGCTGGTCCGACCGGACAAATTGGTTACTGAGCACTCGAGTCGGGTGTTACGGGTCGTGAAAGAAGTGACGCACGCGATCGGGTCCCAAGGAATGGTCGAGGGGCAATACCGTGAAACACTACGGAGTAAGTCATCAGACGGTGATGAAGGGTTAAGGTATGGACACGTGGAAGAAATCTGTGAGAGGTCGGAGAAGATGGAGGGAAAGGCCTACGCTTGCTCTGCTGCATGTGGAGCGATACTTGGAGGTGGAAATAAGGATGATATTGATAAATTGAGAAGTTATGGTTTCAATGTTGGAAAAATTCATGGCGTTTTGAAAAAGTGGAGAACGGAGGAGGGAAAAGAGAATGGGGTGATAATGAAAAAAGTAGAAGAGATGAAGGATTTAGCAATGAAAGAGTTGGAAAGCTTTGAAGGAGAGAAAGTGAATGTTATGTATGGTCTGATTGATATGTACTTGGGGGACGTAAACTAACAATAAGTGGTGGTCAGAGCATGATTATAGGTGGGTAATAAGAGTAAACTAGATTCTCACCCGCACTATGTGCGGGAACATTCGTTATATATGTTGTAAACTATACTTGGCTT